ATTCTACTTGCGGTTTTCAGTATCGACGTCCATCATCTCAGCTACGGTCCACGCTTTTGCAGTCCAATCAACGTCGCGTCTGAAAACAGCGAGCAGAATCTCATCGTGGGAGTCAGGCTTTAGCGCCTATTCTGCGGCGTCCACGTGAAATGAATCGCCGCACGTCACATTATTCACGCAAAGTTTTGCCTCGTTAGTTTTGCTGAAGCCGTTCAAGTAGTCAGACATTGTTAGGAGGACGTAGAATCAACAATTACAACGTGAAAAAGAGCACGGGGACTCCCACCGACGCCGACAACAACGCAATTCAATGGTTTGTTTATGGGCGACGGCGGGCATCTTGCCCACCATCAACCGCGCATGCGCGGCGCCGGTGGCGACCGCTCGGGGCGCTCCGGTTTGTTTGTAAACATGAGTTGGTGTATACTTCACTTCTGGCAGAACGGCCACTCCCAACTCGGGTTACGTTAGGCTCCAAATGTCATCCCGGCTATGAGTATAATAGAACAACTATGCAGTGTTTCCCCTGATGTATAAATGATCCTGCAGCCAAGTATTGCAGTGAACAGCAGCATTATAAAACATCCTCAGGATTTATCCAAATAATAAAACGTAGTTGGAGTCTTTAGGCCGAAGAGGCGGTCTGGACTAGTGCAACACCTCAATCTTATAAATTGTAAAAAAATTATATATATATATGTGTGTATGTGTATATATATATATATTACTGGCTCTCTTTTGCTCAATCACAGGTGTTGATGTCTGCCCCTCGTTGTTTTGTGGTTTGATCTAGATTTAGAGCAGGAAGTGTGCTAGGATTTACCGCAGCCCTGGGCCTTGGTGCTGTTCATAATTAATTAATTTATTTATTTCAACAAATACATGCTGCGCTGTTATTATGCAAGGGGGTACATGAATTGTGTACATATCATGAATATATTCAAAATTCATGGACAAAAAAAAAAGTCAATGAAGAATACACATCTATTCTTCAATACAACGTTAGGCATTATATTGGGGTTGTACATAGATTTTGGACACATATTGAACATATTAAAAATCCATGCAAACACAGACAGAAAATTTAAGAATACATTTCTATTCTTCAATACAACTTTCTAATTTTTATAAGAAAAGCATAATAAAAAAAAACGGAGATCAGCTCTGAAATTGAATTCCACTCCCTAATAGTTCGAATAAAAAAAAAGAAAAATTGTGAAGAAAACAATCAGTTCCATAACGAAACTCAGCCACTATTGTCGAGTGATCCAATCCTGCAGATACATAATGCGGCTCCAATATAGAAAATTTCATTCAATACCTGCACGTCCATAATTACTTCCTGAAAAAACTTTCAAGCTTAAACACCTTCACCGGTGTTTTAGAGTGACCCAAACTAATCTAGTTTCCATTTCTGTACAACTTGTGTATCGGCTGTAATTTGATTGATTGGGTTAGCAATCAAAGGAAAGCCCCCTTAAGGTCGATCTGAAAATACTGCAAAGTGGCGTGCGCAAATATCACGGGCAAGCTGACAAATCTATTACTGATATAACAAACACTTGCAAGAAACTTTTTTTTTTTTTTTACATTTGGTGGACTTACCATTTTTATTGTGTCTTTTGCGCAGGCCCCTGTGCAGTATTTTCAGATAAGCCATAAGATGGCGTAATTTTTAAAGGGGTCCACTCGGCACAAAAATGTTAGGTCGGGAGACCTAGAGTAACTGGACAATGATGCAGCTCTTATGCATTTGAAAGCTACGTGCTTGTGTGAATACCGAATTCCCGAATCGATGGTGCCATATATATTTTTTTCTTTTCTTTTTTTACCGGTTTTGTGCTTTCCTTTTTTTTATGTCGGTGTACAAGACCAACTGGTGCGGGCCTAGCCGGCCTTTCTGGAACACCTCAACTTATATAGGTCGAGATAAAGATAAGATAAAGCATGAACAGGATAAAAAAAATTTAATTAATTATTATGGCGAGCGAAACGAGCAGTGTGCTTGCAAGCTGGCTTTGTTGTCGCTTCTCCCGTCTCGTGAAACATGGTGCAGTTTTTTTCCCTGAATGTTTTTGGTTATACATAATGTATTTTAGTTCTATGTTTGCAAGTGAATCCATAGCGTTCATTAAGGAGAGAACATTTTGTGTTATGATTTTATCGTTCTTAATTAAGATATGTTTTTCTTTCGACCTTTAACGTGAGCAAATTTTATCGTTCAGGTTACTTCAGTTGTCCGAAAAAATTGGATACATTTTTTTTATTATTTTTGTCAGTCTTCTTCATCTCAGAAAAATCTATTTTTCTTTTCTTCGTTCGGGTCGTGCTTTTAATAATTAAACGCACGGCACATTTTGGATTATTTCTAAAGATCTCAAGAAGAAATAAATACTGTCTCAAAAACAAACATAATAAACTACTAATAAAATTAAGGTTGCCTGGGCTTACTGTTTCCTAGACCATGAGTTAAAAAAACCCTTGTCTAGATAAACTAACCGTAACGAAGTCGGATCTTGGGAAACCCACGTAAAAGACGGAAACTCATTAGATATAGTACCTGACTTTTTTCTGTCATCTTTAGCCTTGCCTTCTGTTGTGCCCAATCTTATTGTATATTTTTTTACCTGCATTAAAGAATGTAGCAAGTATCTTTATTATACTTTTCAAAATAATTAATAAAAATATTGCTTGTTTCGGAGAGTCATCGAGATCGCTCTTGCTTTTTTGTGCTGACGATGGTAGGAGGGAAAAAGCTTCTTGGTTCATCACATCTTTATTTTTCTATAAAAATCAGGAACAGACCTCGCGTGAGAAAAAGTACCAATGTTAGAAAAGAAGTTTTTGACTGCGGGAAACTGTTAACGCAAACAAGCTATCTCCGTTCTTTTTTTTTCTCCTGTAATTCTCTTATAAATTAAGGGCTATCATAAAAAAACCACTGCGGTGGTAGAAAGTGTTCACTTAGTGGGCTAAACTCGGAGATAAAATTCAGTGTCGCATAATACCTTTGTTTATCTAAACAAACAAATAAAAAAAGAATAGAACACCGACGTCGTGTTCGCACTGATGGTGTCGCGCAGTATACCTCTGCTGGTGTTGAATTTGTGCAACAAGGCCCACAAAAGGGAAGAGAAAGCAAAGGAAAAAGTAACAAATCTGTAAAGTAAAAAGATGAGCAACTCTTAGTTTTTGTTTCAATAACCGAGAACAAGAAAGAAAAACAGATATTAACTGCTCTTTTCATTCAATTTCTGGTATAATAACCAGTTATTTTATTCTCATAGTAATTAAACCACCTGATTGTAGAAAGTACTCGGGTGAACAGGTAGATTACGTTTAAACTGACACGATGATTTTATTTCATTACTTTGGTTCATTAACCTCAACAAGATTGGGTGAAATTTATTTTTTATTGTTTCATGCAAAACTAACCCAATGGTTATTTTTGTAGATATTTAAATTTGTGTTTACGAAAGGAGGAAATTTCTGTCTAATTACTCTGATAAAAATGAGCCGAAAACAAGAAATTTGTACTACCATACGCGGCTCTACCAAACGTCGGGAAAACGGATACAGCGCTGTCGGACATTTACCCGGCATGCTTCGAAAACATTCTCTTCGTTTAGCTTTGCCCGCAATCCATTTCAAACCTTAGCTGCTTCTGACAGCTACAAATGTTAGTAACTTCTTTTGTGTAAAAATTCGCGTGTGCCGGTTGCTGTTTACAACCAAACGATCGGGATACCCCGCATCAAGAAGATCTGAATGAACTCTAAGAACGGCGACCCTGGCTTGGTTTTTTGTGTGATTTGAGGACGTCTCTATTTTTATTTCAGTTCAAGACGAAAGTGCATCGTCCTTCGCGCGTTTTATTGAGGATCGTTACCGAACGATGCAAGTGGCGCTGCTCCTCAGACGAGCTTCCTAGGCGAGCGTAACTGGTCTTTAGATTTCGTGTGCTTAATTCCTTCTGAATATTTTATTTAAAATGTAGAATGAATTGATCACACAATTAAATTAGCTTGCGCAGCTCATCTTGTATCGCGCATTTACGTTTACTGCTCTACCTTGTGCAGTTAGATTAGGATTGATACGAACCGGGGCTGTACTTCGGAGTATTAAGTTTAACGATACGTGAATAGTGTTATCGGGTGGACTGGGCTGTGCAGATGGAACTCAGTCAGCTCCAGTTTTTCCTTGCTGGTGCACTGCTCCTGAACTCGTGAACAGCATTGAATCGCGATTGGCGTATTGAAATGAATGTAATTATGGCTGGTGATTTTCGGCATAGGCCACAGTAAAATTCATAAAAAAAACACCCCAAATGACAGACGGAATATTTCGATGAAGGATGAGACATCCAGCTTCTTGTTAGCAATGTCCTGAAATACTGCATATCTCCACTTTGAATCCTGGAATTTTTGGAATGATGTAGTTTATCGTTTGAGATAGTCGCACGTGATATGATTTATAACTATTTTATGTGTGAAAAACGCTACATAGAGTTTTTTTTTCGCCTAAAAACACACCTTAATATGGGCATCTCCCCGTTAGATCTGCAAGATGCGGCCCATAAAAACCAGCCCATTCGGCACACCTCGCAAAGTTATCATTGCTGCAAAACTTTTCCTGTTTATTTTTAGAGCTCTACTCAAACATAGCGAGATCTTAAAAATTGAGCAAAAACAGCGGCCGTGTCTTTTCTGTGTGTGTCATTTGTTCGTAACTGCACATTTCTTTTTTCTTTTTTATCTGGTCATGGCCGAACCAGAATCGACTTCCAGACTAGTTAAGTCAAGGCGTGGGCTCGGTGGCTGTGCCACAACACGGTCCATTAACCCGCTGTCCTACACCATGCAGGTCCTTACCTCGTTCATCACCCTCGTCATGGTTCCAGCCTTCCTGAATGATACCTGGATTATCGCCACGGAAAGTACGCCCCTTCGCCACGCACACGGCTCGAGAGATTGGCAGTCATCAACAGCAAACGCGCCGCTAAACCTTGTGGCGCTGTCATCTGATCCGTGGATCCCAAGTTCATCGTGGGAAGCACCATCGTCATCGACGTCAACAGATGCGCCAGTCATAAAAGAACAACATCCGGCGACTGCACTCTGTGGGCTCGGTGGCTGTGCCACAACACGGTCCATTAACCCGCTGTCCTACACCATGCAGGTTGGTCTGTCATACGTTAGCTCGTCTAAGAAATCGAGCAACTATCTTTTAGTACAGCTGCCGAGCCTGCAGTGTTGCATTGCCGTTGCTAGTGAATGTGCTCAAGTCATCCGCCGCTTACTGATGTTGTCTGGAGATGTAGAGACTAATCCGGGTCCTGTTACCTCAAGTGAAATCCTAAGCGAATTGCAGAAGCTGTTTGCAGGTCAAACTAAACTCATCGAGGAGGTAAAGGGCCTAAAAAGTCAGCTGCAGATAACCGATAGGACCATATCGGACCTAGGCAGGCGGATGACTGACCTGGAGGGTCATTACCAAGGCCTTTCCACGCTACGTGCTGAGGTGGAGGCCACGGTGACCAGGGCCGCCCACGCGGCTCGTCAGGTCTCTGACCTTGAGGCCCGTGTGGACGACACTGAAAATCAATCCCGACGAAAGAATCTAATATTTTATGGTGTGCCCGATCCCTCACCTACAGAGACTTTTGCCCAGTCCGAACAAAGAATCATTCGCCTTTGCTCTGAACTTTTTGATGTAACATTAGACTCGAAAGAAATAGAACGTGCCCACCGCCTCGGGCGTCATTCGGTCGAGCGTCCACGACCAATAATAGTGAACTTCTCCTTTTTCAAAACTAAAGAAGCCATCCTTTCGAATGGCCGTAAACTAAAAGGTACTAACTTCAGCATGGGCGAAGATTTTTCCCGCTCAGTTCGCAACGCACGGAAGCACCTCCTTGCCTTTGCTAGAAGCAAATCTGCTCCCTTTTCTTTGCGCTACAAAACACTGCTCATCGGCGCAAAACGTTACGTTTTCGATTAATCATGCCAATCAGTCAAAGAAATCTCATAGCAATCGCACCGTCAACAGAAAATTACAACACGCCCCCAACGTGCCCCTCGAACTAATCTTTCTTTTTCGGTGATCTTTACTAACATACGCAGCTTTCTTCCGAAGCGCGAACTCGTATCTGGCGTTGTATTATCTTCTGAATGCAATGTACTTGTGCTTACTGAAACTTGGCTAACCAGTGATGTTACTGACTCCGAAGTTTTAGCGTACCTGCCAAATTTCCGTCTCTTTCGTAATGATCGCAAAGGTACTCGCGGGGGAGGTGTTCTCATTGCCGTAAACCATCAAATACCATGCACTACTATTAACACTTCATCCGATCTGGAAATACTCTGGCTCATCTGTCATGCCGCTCCTGAAACAGTGCTGTTGGTTGTCTGTTACAGGCCGCCGCATAATAGTCCCGATTTTCCGGGGCAGCTTAACGATATGCTGTGCCACCTCAATGCAAAACATCCCAATGCCCACATACTTCTTTTTGGCGATTTTAATTACCCATATGTCGATTGGGCTAACCTGGCGCCTACAACAACGAGCAACGCAGAAACGAGAGAATTTATCGATGTTTGCCTCAATTTTAACCTGTCCCAAATATTAACTGAGCCAACACGTGTCACGCAAGAGACTGCAAGTCTCTTGGACCTAATATTAACCAACCGTCCTGACAGTATGTCGTCAATTACTTACCTACGGGAAATTAGTGACCATAAGGTCATTCACGCTGATTTTATGTTTTCGCCGACGTTGCCCCCTTCTCAAAATAAAACAATTCGCCTCTACAACAAAGGAAATTATGAAGCGATAAATAACCATCTAACCAATTTTTTTACTGACTTTGAGGCTGCTTATCAAAGTCGATCCATCCATGAAAATTGGGTACTACTCAAGAACAAGTTTAACGAATTAATAAATACATTTATTCCTAAAATCAGTTTTTGTGTTAGCCGACAGAAGCCATGGTTCACTAAAACCCTTAAGAGGCTGGAAAATAAAAAAAAGCGTCTTTTTCGCTCTGCGAAGTCAAAACCAAACCCATGCGCGTGGGAAAGGTACTACGAGGCCGAAGAAACCTATTTAAACGCGATCATTGAAGCCAAGCGCTCATTTTTCCTTATTGACTTACCAAACATGTTAATCAATAACCCAAGAAAGTTCTGGCAGGTCATAAACCCTCAGCAGACTCCCGGTTTAACTCTTGCCGATGAATCGGGAAATGTGCTTAGCGATAGTGAGTGCGCTAACATGTTTAATATCGCGTTCTCATCAGTGTTTACTCAAGAGCCCGACGCACCACTCCCACCCGTAATCGTAACTATTGAATCGGAAATGCACCCCATCTCATTTTCCACTGCCGGTATTTCGTCTATTATTGATAACATCAAGTTGTCATCATCAGCGGGCGTCGACGAAATCACCTCGAAATTTTTTGAAGAATTGTAACCATGTATGTTCATCATTTTTCTCACTTATGTTCTCGCAGTCACTTTTCACAGGCGGCATTCCAGATGACTGGAAGGCGGGGAAGGTCGTTCCCGTTTTCAAATCAGGCAACAAGGACTCTCCATTAAATTATCGACCCATTTCCTTAACAAGCGTACCCTGCAAAATCATGGAACACGTCATTTATACCCACGTTATGAACTTCCTGGACTCTAACCAATTCTTTCACTCTTCTCAGCACGGGTTTCGCAGGAACTTCTCCTGCGAAACTCAACTAGCTCTCTTTCTCCACGACTTACATACCTATCTCGACTCTAACTGCCAAACTGACGCTATCTTCCTGGACTTTGCAAAAGCCTTCGACAAAGTACCTCATAGACGCTTGCTACTAAAACTTTCTCGGCTAGGATTAGACCCTGACGTCTTGAAATGGATACAGGAATTTTTGACTAATCGCTCTCAGTCCGTCCTCGTTAATAACCAGTCCTCCAACTGCCTACCAGTATCATCAGGTGTTCCCCAGGGCTCCGTCTTGGGCCCACTGCTATTCCTCATATATATTAACGATTTACCCTTACACGTTACTTGCCAAATCCGTATGTTTGCCGATGACTGCGTTATTTACCAACCAGTTACTAACATTTCTGACCAAATCAATCTACAGGAAAACCTCAACCGCATCCAGGAATGGTGCGACCACTGGCTCATGTCACTTAATCCTAATAAATGCAAACTCATGTCCTTTCATCGCCGAACCAACCCTTTCCTTTTCCCCTATTCAATTGCTAACACTCCCGTCGAACTAGTACAGTCCTATAAATATCTTGGTGTCACCTTAGGTAGCGACCTATCATGGCGCGCACATGTCGCTAACATTATCTCATCAGCAAATAAAAAGTTAGGATTTCTAAAACGCCATCTACGTGCCGCTCCTCAAAGCATAAAACTGCTAGCATACAAATCACTCCTAAGGTCAAAGCTGGAATACGCATCCCCCATCTGGAGCCCGCACCAAGCCTATCTCAGTTATGCACTCGAACAGGTTCAGAACCGCGCCACCAGATTCATCCACTCATCTTACTCGTACAAAGTTAGTATCTCATCCTTAAAAGCTGAATCGGGCCTTTTAGACCTCTCCTCTCGTCGCCAAACTGCTAGCTTATGTCTATTTCACAAGTTTTTCTGTTCTCCGCTCCATCACACGCCCTACATTGTACCCCACGCCCGCATCTCTCTCCGAACAGGTCACCCATTGCAGGTCACCCGTCACCGCACTCGAACTGCCACTTTTTTCAATTCCTTCTTCCCCCGTACTGCAACAGACTGGAACGGCCTTCCCGGCGAAGTTGCTGCGATCACCTGCCCATTAAGGTTTGCTGAAGCTGTGTCAACCATCAATCCAACGTAACAACCTATTGTTCAAGTTATTGTTTTTTTTATATTCTCCCACCCCTTATGTAATACCCCTCCCGAAGGGGTCTTTAAGGAAATAAAGTGAAGTGAAGTGAAGTCAATAAGCCTTGAGGCCACCTCCTACAGGGACTTACGCAAAACACTTTTTTCATCGACATCTAAAAAAAAAAAAAACATTTTCTTTCTTCCTATGAATAATTGTTTATTTAATGTAAGCAAAAACTATTTCAGTCAGCACACTACACTTGTTCCGTATAAGTACAATGACAAACAGTTTCAATCACCTTGATCGGAACAGTTGTTCATGATGGTTCAGTCAGTACTCCGAAGGGTGGCATTTCCGCACCCCCGCGGCGTGAAAAAAACTCCCATTAATTATAAGCGAGAGCAAAGGCCGTAAGGGATGCCGGTATCATAGCCCGGCCGTGGTCTGGTTTGCGCTCTTCAAGCAGTTTTTATACTTCGTTTTAGCTTAAGTCCAGACATTGCCAACGCTACGACGTAATGGGACTAATCAAGCGGCGTCAAAAGCCCAAGTCGCTAGACCTTTTCTGTTTGTGATGGGTTCAGAGATGGGAGAACGCGTACCGAAACAGGACGAACACCATGATGGTGCACTTTCAACGCTGTCTGATTGGGCGCCATCAGCTCGTAGCGTCGGTGGCATCTGGACCTTAAAGGGATACTGAAATAAAAACTGTGATATACCTCTCACGTTCGGAAATGTATTAAGCATGATGAACAAAAATCAGCGAATGACAATGGCACGTCTGTATTTTTAACGGTTGGCTATGCGGAGCGCAAGTTCTTCTGCTTCTTGCACAGGGATTGTGATGACGTAAGACGCTAAGCTCTTATTGGCTGATGGAAAAAAAGAGTGGGTAGACCCCAAGGTATCCAACATTGAAGTCTACCACTATACTCTCCATCAGAGCCAATCAGAGCTCGGTGTCGTTCTGACGTCACCGCAACTCCCGCGCAAATAGCAGACAACTTGCTCTCCACATTGACCTTTTCATCGCTTATCACCAAGGCGAAAAATGCTGACTCATGGAGCTTTAGACGCACGCACAGCGTCTGATATACTGCGCAGGAGACCAACAGCGCATGCTCAGAAGCCGTTTCATTCCCCAGCAGACAAAGATGGCAGCACGCAGAAGGCGATTTCTGCACTCTAAAAAATAGGGGGTGTACAGGGGTTCTTCTTTCGTCCCATATGTAACTCTCTAAAACTACATTTCGTCCTTCTGTTTACTGACGTCGAGCTGGCGATACCAACTTTTGCAAGCGGCTTGATAGCTGTTGGATATAACTAGGGTTCCGCGTTTTCTGTTTTTATATTTTTCGAAATTCGGTGTATTTAGTTCGGTGTTTATTTTAAGATTCAATTTTCGTTTTTTTTTTCGGTGTATATTTCTGCCCACAAATGCATACCGTTTTTTTTTTTTCGGTGAATATGAAAAAAACACCATCGGACACCGGATCATATGATCCTTGAAACCCTGATATTTGTGATCCCTGAAAAAATAACGGCAAAAATACATTAAAAAAAAAATCGACTCTTTATTTGACAAATTTCTGCAACGGTAAAAAAAAAAAAAAGCGCAGAAAAGACAGTGCTTTAAAAAAATGGGACTTCATCTTCTGTAGACCAGGACTACGTGATCTTATATATAGTAAACACATATGTAGTTTCCCAGGTTCTCCTCGTTGATCCACGCTCATTCTTTTCTGTTAATGACCCTGGGCTCCGAGAATGCCCTCTCAACGTTAACACTGGACACTGGCGGGCTAAACAGATGAAGCGCTGCTTGATCCAAAATCGGGCAGTCAACCAAATGTGACTACTAAAAGAAACACGGTGCGACGTTTTGAATAACATTAAAAAAACGAGCGTGTTGGTAAATGCTTAAACAACCGGAAAGAATAAACACGAATTCGGGACGCAAACAGTTGTATCGTCTGTTTCCGTCCCGAAATTGGGTTTAGTCTTTCCGGTTGTTTACGTTTTGAAACCTGACATATTTCGAGTACTCACTAAACTCTGGCTGCAGATCTTGCATAAAGCGAAACACCTTATACTAACTCACACCCGAAATCTTTTTTTTAGGACCAGG